TTTGGGTATGTGTTAGGGAGAGAGGGAGATCCTGCTTTGGGAGGGTCATTCAAGTATTGTTTTCAGTCCCAAATTAAACTTTTAGCTGATGTCACACCAAGGGTATTTCCTGGCATCACTGGAAGGTTCCACCAAGTATCCCAAAGATTAGGCTATGCACAGAAGTACAGGAAAAAAATTAAACAAAACTTATATTTAATGGCACTGAAGTTACAAGAAATCCCAAACTTTTCACCCAGTTGCTCAATAACAAAAAAGTTAGAAGTAAAAGGAAAAGGCTTGTTCTTTCCTTCCTATGTTCACCTTTCCTATAATACTACCTATAACACTCCCTCCCCAACTCCCCTGCCCCAGCACTATAAAAGGCTTTTGCTTCCAGTCCCATAGATACCACGAACCAATACAAAACTCTACTTCATCAATCTTGGAATCTGCAAAACATTAACAGCAATCTTTTATACTGTTTATCTCTAGATATGCATATCTGACTACTATCCATTCTATGTGTTTAGAAAACTATCCTGCTTCATCACTCCTCAAGTCACCATCATTACAATTAATACAGTTTCTGTTTTCTAATTTCCTAGGGCTTTTATACATAGTTTTTGTGTACTTCAGTGGATAGCTCCCTCACAGTCAGGGAGAAACGGAACAGTGCCTGTCTGAGAAGACAGTGAAAAAATTAATTACCAAAGCTGCCTCTGATTGTGAGAGACAACAACATACCTTAGTAAATTCTTTGTTTATATTTTAATCCCCATTTAAAAGTTGCTGAAAATAAGCAACAAAATAACCTCTTAGCTGGAAGGAACCTCCATAAAGGACTCTATGTATCACCACTCACTTCCCAAAACACTCTATGGCCTTTCACAGATTTCCGGAAATTGGATACAGCCAGCAGCAGCTGCAAAATCAGGCTATGCATGCCTGCTTTATGCTGAGAGATGTTCCTTTTGTCTTCCTTGTATTGGGCCTCCAACCCTGCTAATAAGAAGCATGCTGTTCAACCTGTAGCTACAATCACTAGTATGAGTGCAAGCATGGTGGCTCTCATCTTGGCCAAAAAGTGATTGAATCAATGACTTCTAGAGTTACAAGTATGACTCTCTACAACTTTGCTACAAAGCCAGACTCCCAAGTTCAGTTCTGCCACATTTCATGGGTTTAGTCAATAAAAATTATAGTGATTATATCAGAACTTAAACAAAAATACAAACATGTGATTTTAATTCCTGGCTTTGTTTTTTTCCAGTTCAAAGGATCCTAGTCCCACTGGCTCCACATCTGGCTGTCTGTCAGCATGCCCCCAGATCTGCGCAGGGCAGGGCAGGCTACCACTGCGGGCTGGGGCCAGGGCTGCACCAGGCTCTTCCCACTGAGTGGGGGCAGACTGCACTGGGGAGAGCAGCAGTGGTGCTGGCAGGGGGCTGCAACCACCCCAAGATTCACCATAGCTCACCTGACCCCCCCAGCACCACTGCCATCCGCCCAGAGTGCAGCACACTCACCCCTCCACCAGGAAGAGCCCGGTGCTGCCCTGGCCACAGCCTGCAGTGGCAGCCCATCCTGCCCCACACAGATCTGGGGGCACACACCCCCCATGTCCTCCTGGGAGGCCCCAGGTGGTGAAGGGCCAGTGCTAGGGTGGGGAGGCAGCTAGGTCCTGGGTGGGGTTAGGGGTGATGGATTTGTTGGTGTGGGGGTTGCCAGCACCGGGCAACGACCCCGGGCTTGGGGGAAGGGACGAGAGCAGCAGGCCCCAGCCCAATGCTGGCCCCAGCTCCCTCCCTATCCCTGCCAGGTCCCAGCACTTTCCCCTCCCCTGCAGACTTTCCTGCAGCTGGACAGGCAGAGGTGCGGTGCTGATGTCAGTACCCCTCCACCTGCTGCCCAGCTGGAAGGGAGTACAGCCCAGAAGGGGTATGCACAGAAGAGGTACACTCCTTAAAAAGGTTGAAAACCCCTGCTCTTAGTGAATAACAGTCCTCATGCCATAAAAAGATGTCATTCATTTACTTCAGCAGGTTGAGTTTGGCAGTTATATTTCCCATTATGGAAATATAATATAACTACAAATTTATAATATAACTACAAATGTATAAGAATATAACTACAAATTTATAAGAATCAGTAGACAAAAAATATTGATGTTGGACTGAAAGTTAAGGAATCAAATTCTGTAACGCACCAACAAGGACAAATGACATGTTCCAGAGACTTAAAGATTTCTGAGAGAAGGCATAACAAGAAAAATGATACAATCTAGTGAAAAAATGCCCAAGCAGGTGATTTAAACTCTTATTATTTGCTATTTACCAATTTATTATTCATTAAAATTCAAGGATTTCTCAAAGCTTATATTCTGTCACTTAGGTTTTGCTAATGCAATGACTTTTTAAATTAAAAAATGTTTAAAATCCTTGATAACATGAACTATATAATGCAAAGTAAAATGCACCTACTTCCTAAGAAACATTTAAGATTACAATAGGAGAAGTTGGCAATGGAAAATGAGGAGAACAAAAACTAAATTGAAATGCTGATAAAAGTTACCCTTCTGTAGAGACTTAATTTCATAAATATCAAAGCAACTCACACACAAATTATGGAAGCAGGGAAAATTCCAAATATTTGCCTTGAGGTGAGCCCATGCCATATTTGATTGAAGAGTTAATGCGACCTCTCCCCTTCCTAAACTATGAAAATTGTCCAAAACATGTAGAGCCCTCTTCTTTCCTTTCTCAAGATCTTTTTAATATTTTAAAAGATCATGCACATAAGTCAGTATTGTTGTGATATAACATTCAAGTTGTACTAGGTGCAAAAGACATGGTAAATAACAACAGTTTGGGTTTTTCTCCTATCCACTGTGGCTCATGCTGAATAGGATGGTATTATCATATCCCTCCCCAAAGGCAAGGGCAAAGGCAAACTTCAAATTCTGAGGCAGAGCAAGTAAAACTGACGGCAAATTTTGCCAAAATTTGCAAATTTTGTTGCCATTTGCCTAGATTGGGTTCTCACATGCAGTGGTAAAAAGGTGGCTTTCCTTTCTCTGGCGTTTTCAGAAAATTATGATGCCTCTTCCACTTGCAGTTCCTTTATATCACAATATTTTTTTCCATTCACAGGATACATCTTGGAAAGGAAGAAGAAGAAGAGCTACCGATGGATGAGACTGAACTTTGACCTTCTAAAGGAGCTGTCATATGAAGCCAAGAGAATGATTGAAGGAGTAATTTATGAGATGCGGGTTTATGCTGTGAATTCTATTGGCATGTCCCGCGCAAGCCCTGCTTCAGCACCCTTCATGCCAATTGGTGAGTTTCATCCCGTGTAACATCATGTTTAGAACAGAAAAATGGACAAACTAGCCCCCACTTTCTCTCAACACTGTCTCTAAAATAATACTTCATTTGCTTGAGAAAGCTGATTAGTCACTTGACATTTTCTATTTCGTACTTATCACCCTTTTTTCTTTGTCATCTTTCTCTTCTATTTCTCTCATTCCCCTGCCTAAAGAACAGAGGTTCCAGTTTCTTGAAATTGCTGATGAATTTCTAGCTGTTATTATTAGAAGTGTGAGAGTCAAGCTGGGTCTGGAGAGGAGGAGCAACTAATTGACAGCAATTTCCCAGCCCCTCTCAGCTTCCCCTGTTCCCTTATGGGTGCAAATATCATAGTATCCCACCCAGAGCTTTCTTAATCCCAGCCCCCTTGCACAGCTCTAAAGACAGCAGATTAAGAAAATATCTGAGGAATTATCCTCTATAAATAATCCTTCCCACTCTACCAGTGCAGTGTCTCTAGCTGTCCCTGAACTGGGAGCAAACTGCGTGAGCCTTCAGGAAGCCAACCATCTGAGAGCTTTAGGAACAGCAGCAAAAAAATACCAGTACCTGGATACTGAAATGACTAGAGTTGCTAAATCTAAAAACAATAGTCAGGGGGAACTGCCATCTGAAGGAATCAGTGCCAAAGTACAAGACAGTAGCAATGGGCCACAAGGGAAGGATGAGCTGCAAGTGGGATCTGTTAACTCTGGACTTCAATCAACCAACAGCTGGGCTACCAGGACTGAAGGGAAGCAACAAAAGACATCAAGAGGAACTACTAAACAAAAAGGTCCAAAGTTTTCATAGAGTAGGCAGAGTTTTAACTGATAAAATATGAAGTCCAAACTTACTGTTTCAGAGAATTAGCTTTGGTTTTGCAATGTATAGTGGATGGTCAGTCATGTATATTCATAATTACCTTTTCCTCTTGCATGTGTTTCTCAGTCTTTGTTTCCACTTGAAAATGAAATGATTTGATTCAATGCAGCTAGAAGAAAGGAAACTGGGTAAAATATGATTTGGTTTTGCAGTAGCATCATAAACTAAGCTGTTAATAATATAATCTATTTGTCATGCAATGTATGACATTGTATTAAACTTACAGCATATTTGAAATATTTATATGTAAAATCTGTTTAAGGTATTTCAAAGCTGTTCAGTTTATAATACATATACATGTGTTCTAGCAAAGACATTTTCTTTAAATAAGTTCTGTTATGCCATATATTTTAAAGGTTACAAGAATGAGCCACTTTTAATGATATTTTGGAATGCAGTTTAATGCCTTCCATACATATTAAATTCTCTGCCAGCCATGCATGTAATGTGTCCTAAACAAAGGAATTTTCACAATAGAAAATGTACAAATGGACAGTTCTGCAATTCCTAGTTTCTTGGCATACAGAGAATGTAAAGACAAGAAACCCTCAGCATGTGTCTGTAAGAGTATCCTATTTAAATATCCATGTGCATGGGATAGTCAAGTACATCTAGAGGAGTTTCAATTAGGTGTTCCAGCCATGGAGAACATTACTAAAGCAAGTTCACTTTCAGCTTACTTTTCTAAACCAGAGGTTGGCACTGATACCTAACTCTTAAAATGTGTTTTCCAGAAGCCTAGTCAAGACTTAGAAGTTTTCAGCAAGTTTTTTGTTCCTGTTTGATAATATACAAGAATGTATATAATCACTCTTCTGACTGAGCTGTGAGATTCAGAGGATTCTCAGTGATTAAAAAAGTTCCTGCTCTGAAGGAACAGTAAACAGATGATAGATGCAGACATGAAACCTCTAAGTCTAACCTCAAAATGTTTTTCATTATTCATTAGATTTCTGTTACTACTGAACAGATCAAATCTAGGTGTTTTTGTATGTAACTACAGTAATCACCCTAAACCAAATAAATGTATTTACTCACACACCACGTACACCTTTCCCCCCAAAATCAGCCCTTTAAAATTAGGGAGTGTGTCTTAAGCAGGGAAGCTGATTTTTCTTCACTGGAAGAGAAGCAGGGAAGAAAAACAGCAAGTATGCATTAGGTAAAAAGGCTGCCACTTGTCTCTGATGTAGCAAGCAGCATGGGCAGAGTCCAAGTGTTAGCCCTCTCACAGCTGCTGGGGGGCCGAGGATGGGGGGATTGGGGGTTTTGGCTAAAGAGCTACTGAGCAGCTGCATGCAATCAGTAGCATCTTGATGAGGCTTGTGGTGTGGAAGCAACATTTTATTATTTACAGGAACTTATAATAAATAACTATTTACAGTTAAGAAGTAACAGGCTCTACCAATGCCTATACATAAGCGTTGAGGCTGCTCCAATGTGCTGAAATTTCAGTGTATCGGAGCAGACTCAATTAATCTGTGCTCCAGCTGAGCTCCAGCAGCTTCCTGCATCTCTTGTATCAGCATCCCTACACTTAAAAATGGCGACGGAAGTGCCTGAACTAAAGTTTGTTGAATGAGCTTTAGTTCAAGCACCCTCGCCACCATTTTTAAGTACAGGGATGCTGATACAGGAGACGCAGCAGCACTTTAATTAGAGCAGCTCTTTAATTAAAGCACCACCCCCCTCAATGTCTAAGCATATGTAAAAGTGCCCTACTGTCCTAGCAAGGGGGTTGGGATCTAGCCTTTTTGATGTCCTGCCACACCTGAAAGTTTCTGCTGCCTCACTCAAACTGCCTTCTGGGATGCCACACTTCCTGGACACTGTTGCCAGGAGGACTTAGTCTATGTCAGGAGTGGACAAAATGTGGCCCGTGGGCCAGATGCGGCCCGCCAGACCATTCTATCCAGCCTGCAGGACCCCTAAAAAATTTAGAAAATTAATATTTATCTGCCCCTGGCTGCCTGTCATGCAGCCCTTGATTGCTTGCCAAAACTCAATAAGCGGCCCTCCACCCCAAATAATTAATTGCCTGCCCTGCTCTATGTCACGCTGTCAGCTATGATTCTGGAAAAATATTTTTTTTTCCACATTTTGCTTTATAAAAACAAGGTCTGTGTCTTATTCAGGGGCATGTGGTATGTAAGAAAATATGGTAACATCAACTTCAGCCACCGATGAGGTGGGACTTGTGTTTATGTAATTTTTGTCTGGTAATATTCAAATTATGAGTGTAGAATTATACATTTATAGGTGTTCTCCCATGTTCTGCTCTTCTTTGCTGAGAATCTGATTCACTTATCCAGAGCTTTTCTCTAGAAAAGAATACAAGCTGAGCCACTATTATCTAGAACCTCTGTGTTACAAGCATACTGTGCTTCTACCAAGCGTTACTCATTGACTCTTCTGTCAAGTGAAGCTATTAGAGTTACATTTTAGAGTTGTGGTTCTAGATAAGACTGTACATCATTCCCCTATTCCTGATCATTCCTTCTATATCCACCACAATCCTATATCTCAGGGTTTTATTTTCTTTTAGCTCCCCCAGGTGAACCAACCCACTTTACGGTGGAAGACGTTTCTGACAGTACCATTACCCTGAAGTGGAGACCTCCCGAACGGATTGGAGCAGGGGGACTAGATGGCTACACTGTGGAGTACTGCAAAGAAGGATGTGAGTAAGCCCTAGTCCTACAGTATCAACAAAGCATTATCAATCAGAACAGAATCAGTAAAATACCACTGCAACTACTATCATTTCACAACCTCACCACAGAATCCAGTACCATTACAACAAAGTTTAATGTTACTGATGGCAGACAATGTCAAATCAATATTACTACCATGCATCACCATAGTTGCTACCTCATCTTCCTGGTACCACCACAACATAATAAACCACTCTAACTTTTATAGATGCAAATATTGTATGATGCCATATAATGTTTATTAGAGTTTTCTACAGTATATCATTTCTACTCACTAAGTATAATCACTGCATAATTATTAGAATCCCTGTGACTTCACCCCAGCATGACATATTAGTATAACTTCTGTACTATTAGTACTGCTATAGAAGCTCTGACAACTCTATCAATTACTGCCATCGGACTGGAGAAACAAGGCAAAAAAGAATGAGAAATCAGTAAATTTCATCAGTGGTTTCCACTATTGTTGTTACAAGCACATGTATCTATCACTATACTATTTGAGTACCTTAAGGGATATATATTCCTTCCATTTAAGAATGAAATAAACTGCTCACTTTTCAGTTAGAGCCACTTTCAAAATAATTCTCTCCCATTCCATTTTGAACTTGAACTGCAGGGAAAACCCTCCACCCCATAAAACTCCCTGAAGATACAAACCCAAAGAAACTAGAGAGTACCTTCGGCCTTGTTCACACATGGAATTATTAAGAACAGATATCCCTGAATAGTTCAATGTGTGGACATACTTTTTCCAAACTGTAAAGCGTCCTGTTCTGATTTCGATTAATCCACTTTCATAGTACTGCTTTAAATTCACACCCCACCTTACTCCAAATTTACTTTCCAGTGTAGATTAACCATCAGTTTGGAAAAATTGTACAATTGTTATACAGAAGAAACCCTTTACTTGCAGCTACAGAGTGGGTTCCGGCTATTTATGGTCTAACTGAACGCACATCTACACTGATTAAAGATCTGGTCACTGGGGACAAACTCTACTTCCGTGTCAAGGCTATAAACCTGGCTGGTGAGAGTGGACCAGCAATAACCAAGGAGCCTATTACCATCAGAGAGATTGTGCGTGAGTATCTGGAGCAAGCAAGTATCACTCAACCATTTCCTTTGGGACTTTACTAAAGATGTCTTTAATGGAGAAGGAAATTCTGGGTCTGTCAAGACAAACACTTCTTTTGGAGTATGGATAGGGAGCTACATTCTCTCTTTTGATTATAGCTCTGCCCAATTTCATACTAGGCTGGGTTTTCAGATTAGCTCTGAATAATATCTCCCAATTCTGGAAACATTATCTAATAGGACTTTGACTGTAGATAGTATATTTTTAAAATAATATTTCTCAGATTTTAAAATGTTTACATTTTAGCTTCTGAAATGACTATCTCAGCATCTCAGATACTGTATATTTTAGGGTAAGCTCTATACTAAGAATGAACTGTTATGCTAATGCCAAGTATTCCTACTGCCTAAGAACAGAGGGCAGGAACTGTCTGAATAAAGCTGTTATCTATACTTTTATGTCCAAGGTCATTAATTACCACCTCATCTACTACCCAATGGTAATAGATTCCAGTTCCTTTGACTGGTGTCCAAAAGATATTATGAGCTCATTACTGTGGATTCCTCACTCTTGACTCACACAAATGCCTGCCAGCGTCCCACTACCAGTAAAATGGCCAAGTGTAAAGAGCTAGAGTTTTAAGGCATCCCAAAGCCAGATAGATATGAAGATGGATTCTCAAAATCCATGTTAAGAATTGTTCTATGGTCTAAATGAGGGCAGAAGAAAAGGGAGAGATGTAGAGTGCAGGAAGAACACTAATGAAGAGGGCTGAAAGCAGAGACTTGAAGACAGAATATCCACTAAGACTCTCAACAACTTTTGGCAGGAAAGCAGTTGTCATGTTACTCTCTGAAGTTTGGGGAATGAAGTGCAACTCCTTTTACCCCAGGTAGCAAAATTGCTGCTGAGCTATTCCATGGAGGCAATGCAAACCCAATGATATGTATAATCTGCACAGATCATTAAATATTTTCAAATGGTAATATATGTTAGAAATTGTAGGATCTGTGTTGCAACAGATATACCATTCTTTACACCCAGGGTAACCATTCCCTATCCCCATCTGCTTTATAAGTAAGCCCTCAGAGAAACTGAGGTACATTCAGAGGGTGCACATCCTATGCAGAGCCTTTCAGGATCCTATTTCCCTAGGCATTGTAACAACAGAAGTTCCACTGCCAATGGAGCCTGCACAGTTGCAGAGACAAAGACAAGAGTTATCACTAATTTTCATCAAGTGGTGCGTATAATACCATCTACAGATGAATACACCTAGCAAATGATCAATTTCCCCCAAACTCTTCAGTTTGATTTTTCTTGTGTTCACAAAAATGGCATACTACTTTACAGTGTTAAACATGAAGTCTGTTTCCTCTGCTGTTTTTCCTTCTTTTTCCTATGAATAATAACATTGAAACAACCATGGTGTCTAACATGAGAACATCCTTATCTACAGAACGTCCCAAAATATGGCTGCCACGCTATCTTAGACAGACTCTGATGAAGAAAGTGGGTGAGACAATCAACATTGTGATTCCTTTTCAGGTAGGCAACTGATTCTGTTTTGGCATGGTTCTTTTATGTTGCTTATGGTTACACATTAAGTTTCCTAACCCAAACTCCCCTACTGAATAACTTATACATAATTTAATTTGAAGGAAATATTTTCTGTTAACAACATTATAATTCATTGCATCTCCTTTCTGCTCACTTTTGTTTTGATAAGTTATTTAGAAATAAGCCTTTCACCCCTACCTATTTGCAACTACAGTTTAAAAACTAATGACTAGGGCAAGATTCCCGCATGTGCTTATATAATTGCAGACTGTACTCTAATGCAAGGTGATAGAGTTATGGGTATGACTACACATCTAAAGATATTCTATAGCAAGGCAGTCCTGACTCATTTTATATCCTCATAAGGCAAATGTTGTAGCCCATGGGCTGGATCTGACCTGTGGAGCTGGGGGGGTTGCAGCATTTCAGCAACAGGGGGGAGTTTGGTGGCATTTCTGTGGCAGGGGCTTTGCCCGGGTGGCAGGGAGAAGTGGTGGCTGCAGTTCCAGCTCCAGCAGTGGCAGTGCAGGCAAGGCCCAGGCGCAGAGCTAAGCACCATTAAAATGGCCCCATGCAGCAAAACATTGCTGATCCCCATTTTGGTATAATTCAAAATTGCACAAGCCTGCATGCACACTGTTCTGTTTTTTCCTTTAGAACAGTGGTAAGAAAACGTGTTATAAAAATGACAGCATATGTCCAAAGTAAGGTTTTACTCCTCGTAACTTTTTTCTATTAACTAACTTCATACAGGGATCTACCTAAAACTTTGTATAACCATCTTTTTATTATTTAAATAAAAATAAGTTGGATAAATCAAATTAAAACCTCTCAGTCCCTGAAGGAGTGACTTTTTGCTATATTTCAACTTTCTATTCAATCCTGCTGAGATGCTTATAATGGGTGTCTATAGATGTGCAGGATGCCCACTCCGTATTGTAATTACAATGCGTTGGAGAAGACTTCATGAATCTAGTCTGCTGGAGCAGGCTATTTAGCACACACTGGCAGCCTCGGCATCTTGTGTATTCAGTGATGAACCAGCTTCAGTTAAAGCATCCCCACCGCCATTTTGAAGCGCAGGATGGTGAAAACACAAGATGTCATGGGTGCTTTCATTAGAGCAGCTCCCAAGAGCCCAATGCAATTAGCAGGGTTAATAAAAATGGAGAATTTTTTTTACCATAAATATAAAAATGCTTGATTTTTATTTTAATTAGATTTTTAATGGGATTTTTATTTTGTTTAAATTATATTTTCTTCTTTTAAAAATAAGCTTGTTTCAAATTAAATCTAAATTTCATAAAATTATGTTGAGTTTTAAGTCCCTTAAAATAGTTCAATAAAAAAGGTTGAAACCATCACCTTTGTGGTGGAGCACCACTGGGGTGCTCGCCACGTGGCAGGGGCTACAATAGGCTGGGGCACAGCCCAGCAGGGAAGGTAGCCAAGTGAAGCCCCAGATCTCATTATAAGGGGGGGAGGTGTGTGGTGGAGCACCTTTGGGGGTGCTCGCCACTTGAGGGCTCTCACAGGCTCCAAGGGGATCCTGTTTTGGGGGAACAGCAGGGGAAAACTCCCCCAGGTACCATTTTAAGGGGGAAGGTATGAGGCAGGGCACTATTGGTGCCTGCCACTTTAAGCTCGGGGCCAAGCAGCCAGCAGGTGCTTGATTGTGGCAGCCATTTTAGATCCCTGGCTGCCTATATAAACAGATCAACTCCCTGCTGGCAGGCCAGGCAGCTACACTGTGTGGCTGCAAGGTTTCATGTATCATCCTGGAGGTAAGGGAGGAGCTGTAGGGGATAGCTAGAAGGCTCCTGGTCCTGGCCATGACCTAAAACTGCACCCTGCTGGGAGCAGGTGGCCTGGTGGGGCTCTCAGTGGTACGGGAGCCGCCAGGAAATGCCAGGCCAGTGATCACCCTGGTGAAAAGTGAGAAAGGGCGCCTTAACCCTAGCCCTCACCTTGGGGTGGGTTTGCGTAACACTGGAGGTAGTTGGGGGCCAGGCATGGCTGTGGCCACCTAAGCCCTGTGGGGTGCAAGACCCTGAAGAGGGAGAGTTGGGGGGGCCAAACACTGCTGCGGCCACCTGAGCTCTGTGGGGTGCAAGACCTTGAGAGACCCCAAGGAGGGAGAGTGGGGGCCAGGCATGGCTGAGGCCACCTGAGCTGTGTGAGAGGGTAGAACCCTGAGGAAAGATAGTTGGGGCCAGGCATGGCTACGGCTACCTGAGCCCACTGGGGAGGGAAGCCCCATGGCCCCCAGTGAGGGGGCTGAGATGAGTAGCCCCAGTGAGGGGGCAGAAATGCAGAACCCCAGTGAAGTGGGGGGAAAACCAGAGGGCTGAGAGCCCAGTATGTTTGTTTATTTTATACATATATATAAATAAACATTCTCTCTCTCTCTCTCTCTATATATATATATATAGAGAGAGAGAGAGAGAGAGAGAGAGCGCACAATGACCTGCTGCTCCAGGGGGAGCGGGAGAGTCCCTGTGAGACCCTGTAACACTAGTCGTGGTATGAGTTACCCCAGCTCCCACAACCAGGCAGGTAACCCCTAGTAGCAGCCAGAAGGCGGACCCAAGAGAGTGAAGGGGCTACTAGCAGAGGCCTGATGTAGGATACCCTTGGCTGGTCAATGCGGGGGCCAGAACCAGAATGGTCAAAAGAGCCAGGGGCCCACCGTGAGGGACACCCAGAGCTGAGGGCCTGGGGTCCCAACTGGGCTTGGAGGTGAGGCCAGGGCCTGTGTAGTCAAAGGTCCTGGGGGAACCACACCTGAGAGGGGAAATGGTTTCAGGGAACCAGACAGCCCGAATGAAGGTAGGGTAGGCCGCCTGAATGGAGGGATCTTAGAGGGTTCCTGATTGGAGGATTCTGAGGCCGAGTTTGGGGCTGGTGAGATAAACAGCTGGATGCCATCTGCGAGGCATGGGCTGCAGTGTAGGGGACATATGGAGCCTCAGATAGTGCCCCCTGGCATCGGGGCATGAATGGGCAGCCTCCTGCCTTAATTAACATCTTAATTAAGAACAAGGCATGGCAGGCGAGTCAGGTGGGGGGGGTGCACAAAGGCAGGTGAGGAACCTAGCACTGTGGCTAGGTGGGGAGCCCCACTTTGCCACAACCCTGTATCAAAAGGTTGAGTTATAGGCTGTGTGCTTTTTCTATATAAACACATAATCAGGGAAACTCATTGAATTTTTTAGACCAGGCTTTATAAATAAATTACAGTAAGTCACATCTGGTATTAAGGACCCAGCCTTCTGACTCCCAGGATACCAGCATAAACCTCACTTGGAACTTTTGATCAATCTACTTGGGTAGTTTCACACACAGTTGTCTCCAACCTCCCCAGCTCTTACTGGCTCAGTTCTCAAATTTGTGTAGAATGTGTGTGCAAAATATTTAAAATAGTGTTTCTTAATAAAAATTAATTTGATTAATTTGATTTTTTAAAAATCTGTAGGCTTAACTAAATCTCTGTTACCATCATTGTGCAGCTGCTTCATACAAATCATAAGCAAAAAGTTAGTTATGTAGTGAATAAGCAATATACATCCAACATTTTCTAACAAACTAAAAATGTACAGTTAAGTATCTGAATATATTTAGCTATTTGATGGCTTAAATAAATATACAGATTCATAGATTCATAGATGTTAGGGTCGGAAGGGACCTCAATAGATCATCAAGTCCGACCCCCTGCATAGGCAG